GTGGCTGGGGCGGCGGGTGCTGAGCCCTGCCCTTCTGGTTCCAGGTGCCGGTGGCCTTCGCCGAGGTGACCGTGTGGTTCTCCCGGGAGGAGTGGGGGCTCCTGGACCCAGGGCAGAGGCAGCTCTACAGGGACGTCATGCGGGAGAATTACCAGATGCTGCTCTCGCTGGGAGAGGCCCTACAGCTGCCCCGAGTGCGGCAAGACCTTCAGCTGGGGCGAGCAGCCTTACCAGTGCACTGAGTGCAGGAAGCACCTTTGCTGCAAGGCCTCCCTGCTGAGCCACCTGCGGATGCACACGGGGGAGTGGCCCTATGCATGCACCGAGTGCGGGAAGGGCTTCATCAACATCTTCAGGCTCACAAACCACTGATGTGCCCACAGCGGGGAGCAGCCCTGCCGGTTCACGGACTCTGGGAAGGGCTTTGGAAACAGCTCTGTGCTCTTGGAGCACCAGAGAAGGCACTCCAAGGAGGGACCCCGCTGATGGAGAGAGGGGCATTAGTGGCTCTCTAGAGTGTGAAATTGACATGCTCTGGGGACTGGGTTCTCTGTAGAAGGGGACATTGGTGATCTGTTTGGCAGCCTGGGAGGAACCAAAGGCACCTAAATAGGGAATAAATTAGCTTCTTCTTTTCCCACCCCACTGCTCAGCAAGACATACCAATCCATCTTGGATGCCCTGGCTCCCACCCCCAGTACATGCCCACAGCAAGCCCACTGGCCTGATTTGAAGTCCCTCCTCCCAGTCCCACCATGTCTATCAAGGTACTGAGGGCCTCTGTGAGGTTTCCTAAATGGCCGGAAGTACCAAGGTAAATTGTCTCACTTTAATGTGTAGAAGGGAACTAAACAGAAATAGGAGGTATCATGATTAGGACTGGGAGTCAGGACCCCTGGGCTCTTGGTGTGCTTTAGAGCAGGGGGCCTGGAACAGAGACTCCTGGCTTTTGGAGCCTGAAGGGGTCTAGTAGGAGTCCTGACTTGCAGGCTCCCTGCTCTGGGTTCTGCCCTCAGGGAGGGGAATGGGGCCTAGGGGTGATATCGGAGGCGACTGGGCCCCATAGGCATGTACTTTAGAGTAGGGGCCCTGAGACTCAGGACTCCCGGGCTCTACCTCTGTCACTTTACTTTTCCGTGTCTTTCTCTCTACAGTGGGGCTAGTGGTACGCAGCTTTTGTTTCTAGAGTGTTTTGAGTCAAAGATGAAGAGTGTTATTATCCTCTAGCTGAGTAATTATAGGCTGGGAGTAGCCCTCAGTTGACCTGCTTTGGTTCATTCCTCCTGGGGGAGCTGCACCACTGTGCACCTGCGTAAGTAATGAGCCACACTTTTCATTGTGTTGCTGCAGTGCCACCTTTTGCCCACCAGGAGGAGCTGGGGCAATAGAACCGAGGAGCTGCTCCCAGCCAGCTAGGGAAGAGTAGAGCCTGAAGAGCCCTGTTCCCAGTGCCTCTCGGGCCAGGTCAGGAGGCAGGATTGATGGGGAGCCAGACAATGTGGGGCTGCTGGGGAGGGGGTGTCAGGGACTCATAAGGGCTAGTGGAGGAGGACAGCAGTGTTCCTTGTAAGCTGGGTGCTTGTAAGCTGACCAGGAAAGATTCAGGTGCCACCTAGCTGATTAGCAGAGCACCCATAGCTGCCCACAGCCAGTAGCATGTGTTTCTATTGGTGGTGCACATCTGCACATGCCTTGGTGCACATACAAATTATTCCACACATGAATGGAAAAAATTAGAGGGAACACTGGAGGACAGACAGGGGCAGGAGCTGAATGCAAGTGGAGGCTCAAGGCTGCATGAGCAGTGGGGGATGCAGAGCTACAGGGGGAAGGGGCTGGCTGGGTGGGGGCCCAGACACATGGGGACATGGGAGGAGGTGCAAATGATGAGGAGGGGGAGGAGGCATGGGTGGGGAACACATGGAGGTGCAGGAACACATCAGGTCAGGGGCAGATGTGCCTGAGTGAATAGGAAAAGCTGGGGGTCAGCTGGTGTCTGCATGACGGGAAGCTCCTTAACCATCCACACCACAAAAAAGCCTGTTCCATGCATTTCCCACCCACACCCCACAACCCTGTAAGTTCACACTGAGGCTCCTTCCCAGCAATCCCTTCCCTTTCCCTTAGCTCCTCTGTTACCCCGACTCCCCCAATCCTTTGCACTGCTTCTGGGTGATGTGGGAAATCTGACTCTGTATGGTAGCTTAAATGAATTATTCAGCGTTCTCTATTAACACACCTAGTAAGGAATCTATTTGTCAAACGTTTTCCAACTCTGATTTGTGGTCTGTATTGTTACAGCTGCACTTGCTGCCAGGTACTCTTAAATAAATGACCACAAATAATTGAAACAGGTGTGAATATATTGTGTTATTTAGACAAATATGCAGAATGTTGAAATATTGCACAGAATTCCCCCAGGAGTAGTCCCTGCTCTCAGTTAGCTGTAGAGCATAGACCTCTTAGTCTTTTCTTAGCCTGGTTTGCTGTAAATTGAGATTCACAATTGAGATCTCTTTTCTCTTAACCAACCAGGAAAAGACATGTAAAGGTATCCTGGAAAGGGGAATATAACTGGGGATTGTGTTCTTTAATGCTGCCACTTTTCAATACACAAAACAAAATCTGGGGGTTGGGGGAGGGAAATATCAAGCTGCTTGG